TAAATGTGTACTTTTCATACTAATACTCTAATTATAATAGTAATTAATCATAAATAATAGTAATACTTAGTTTTAATTTAAATATATTAGAGTATTAAATAATTATAATTAAATTAATTTATTACTGAATTTTAGTTTCCATATATACACGCGATGTACTACACTTACTAAAGTATCATATTATCGACGAGAGCACTGTTCGATTGATTGTCATCTTTATAAAACCACAGTCCAAAATATTCAATTAAAAAATATTATTAAACATTTTTAATCAATTAAGGCAATTCTTTGGAAGTGGGTTCTACTCAATTTTTAGTAATTTTTTTTTTAATTATTATATTTCACAGCGCATTTATGATACAGATGATAGAAGTCAAAAATACATTTTTCAATTGCTAACAAAAATTTTATGTTGACCAAAAATTGTTAATTAAATGTCTCTACTGACTTCTAGTTTGTTTTTTTTTTTTTTTTTTTTTTTCGTATTCGTGTAAAAACAATAATTTAACAAAAAAAATTTTTTTGTAATGTCTTCAAAATTTTTTTTCAATCTAAAAATTAAAATTTTTGAAGTTCTGTATATGTTAATTATTTTATTTATTCTGAGCTGTGAAAAAAAAATTCATTATTCAATAACAATTTTTAATATTTTTATGAGTTGAAATATTGTGGACCCTACTTTCAAATAATTACCTTAATTAATGAGAGGTCAAACGAAAATGTTTATGGGTATAAAGATATATATACTCGATTGAATACTTTGCAGGAAAATTTTATAAATCAAAAGTTAGTTTATATATTTATAGGCTAATTTTTATCAACATTTTTATTTAATTATTTTCGAAATGCGATAAAATTTCGTTTTTTAATTTTTGCAACATGTTTCAAAGGTTATTTCTACTGAAATCATAAGAATTATATTATTGATCAAAACATAGAAATTTGGAAGAATTTATAGCAAAAAGTCCATAATCTTTGATAAAAAAAAAAAAATTTTAATCAAGAACACAATAATTAAAAAATTTTTCATTCTTGTCAATAAAAATGAAGTTTTAAACTCGAAAAAGTTATAAAATATAGTTAATATAACAAAATGCATGCATAAAGTTAAGTACAATTATTATATTATAAATAAAGTATTTTTCTTAATTATCATAAAAAATAATTAAATAAAACATTTGTACTTGCAGTATAGAGCAGTCATTTGTAGCATATATCATCAATATATATGTATATAGATTTTCTTAACGATTCTGCGATTCAAGTGTATTTCCTATCTATTATTATTCACTCCCATTTTTACAATTATAGTTATAAGTCATAATAATATGATTATTTATTTAAATAAACAAATGAAAATAAATTACTTTTCATTTTTTTATATAGAATGTTATTATAAAAATATTAATGCAACATATTTATATTCAAGTATTAGCAGCGCTATGATATGTTACAATATTGTGCCGAGTGTGAAGGCTGTAACTATAAAAGAAATAGTTACTTACTACCTTTGTGTTTAGCTTGTCAGTATAATAAATTATGATACCATAAAGATTAATTAAATTAAAAAAAGAAGTAGCCACTTTATAAATATAATCTTTCATACAAAATTTAAATGCAAAAACAATTTTGATAGTTTCTATACATGAAGAAATACAAAAAAGGCCAGAGGCGACAATTTTAAGAACTTTACACCCAATAAATTACATATAATTTTATGTTGCACTTAATTATTTGCCTACTTAGTAACTAAAAACCCTGTTAAATTTTTATAATTTTTAAAAAATGAATTAATTTAACTTTTCAATTTTTTCCAAAAAAGTATTGTAAGACCGATTAAATTCAAACAGAAAGTAAAATTATCAAATATAGCAGCAAGGTTGAGGTATGTGCGAAAAAATAGTCATTTTGCTATTGCTAGCTACATAGCTAAGAAAAATTTTTTGGATCTCAAAAGCCCAACATTTGATAATAGGGCTGAAAGGCTTGTGTGAATTTTGATAATTGAAATTTGGCATGCCACAATTAGATCAACGATTCCTACCTGAAAAGTCCAACGCCAAGAAACATCTTTTATTGCGTATTCTTACGGGTGACCCTTACCTAGGAGATTTACTACTTGGAGAAAAATCTCCTGTTATAAAATTTACATGGAAGAAGAAATCTAAAAAAATTTAGGATCAATCAAACTCGACATAATTTGCTTATACTTTTCAGCTTTGCAAAAGGCAAATTATAATTTTTAGATGCTTACTATACTTTTGACGATAAGATTCGCACTCACCTAAACATTTGAGTCTAAATTTCTGATTTGATAATTTATTCGTGTATATATTCATGCAATTTTTTTAAATTAAAAAAAAAATAATTTATTAAACTTATTATAAAATACAAATTTATATTATTCAACAATTATAAATGAAGTGAAATTCTATAAAATACAAAAAAAATTTCTAAATTTTACCATAAAAAATTTTATGGTAAAATTAAATAACAAAAAATACTATTTTTTGAAGCCAACATTTTCTTCTCATTCAAATAGAAACATTAAAAATTAAAAATTATAATTGTTGTGGCTCACTTGTACCAAATATCTTTGTCATGTAGTCGATAACTGTACAATTGTAATTTTCTGAGCAAATTTTATGATTTACATATGGTATTCTACCCTTTAATTCGATCATTAAGTTTAATAAATAAAAAATTATTATTATATTGATAATTGATAATATTTATTATTTCTTCCGTTTTATAGAAATAAAAACTTGAAAGATATGTATTTTCGTTTTATTCTCCCTAACATTCAGAATAATTTATTATTTTATTCTATTTCAAGTAGTAAAAATAGATTGCGTAGAATGTGATACGTAGCGCATGCATCTACAAAGATCCAGTATTAGATTTATACATATTTTATAAGCAAAGTCCTCAGACTGAGCATTGTTAACAATATCTGGGCAATTCCAATACTACCCACTGGCATTGAGCAAAGTTTACAGAAGAAATAAATTTGCAGACTTGGTATGATTTTACATGAGCGAAGTAATACCGTATTTATAATTTTGTTTAATAATTTATTACACTCGCATAACATACGTCTTGATTCATTAATTTTTATTAATAATAATAAAAAAAAGAGAACTTTTTGGAAGTGAAGTTGTAGAGTAGATTTATTTTATTTATAAGTTATTAAATAATTACTTTGGAAATTTATGAATATTTTGAAAATTAATTTATTTCTTCCCGGAAGATATAATATGAATCGCCTAAAACGATTTTATTACCTACAAATGGAAAAAATATTGAAACTGGAAATAGAGTCCAAATATATTATTTATGAGCACACATTTAAGATTATATATGACCATACATGAGGATTAATTATATCCATGGTAGATTATATTCACTGATAGAAAAACTAGATTCAAGAGAAATAATCTCTCCGAAAAATTTGTTTCGAAGAAAACTGCTTGTCTTCAAGAATTTCTTCCTTTATAAATTTCTTCATCTTGGTTTAAAAAACCAATATCTTTGATCAGTAACTATTATCACCTGATTTAAGAGTTTATTATCTTCGATTGATAGTCAAATTCTTCAACCAAAAATAATTCTCAAAAATTAAGAAAATTTTTTTTTCTTCTAAGAACTTTATATTACTAGAAAATTGACCGCGCTTTGCGCGCTTCTGTCAAAATGTTTATTATTGACAATTTAATTATTCAATAATTTTATAAATTTTACGAAAAGCGACAATAATGAAAACGTCACAATAACTTTTTAATAAAGAGAATTGATTCAAGGACTAGTTTTTTGAATCAAAATAGTAAAAATAAAATTTTTACTTTAACTTATCCTAGAACGTATTTAAGACTTTTTGTATTATTTGAAAACTGTAAAAATTTTTTTAGAAACTTTTCTGCTTAACCAAGATTTATAATTTATTGATTGGTGAGTTAAGCTCTTAAAAATATTTTTCTTGAATCAATTAGTTTTTTCTCTTCAGCAAATAATCAGACATAGTTTTTTCCCGGAAAATTATTATCATAGCATGTTAAAATCTAATATCATTCACATTATCTCAAATCAGATCAACAGGTCGACTCGATTCGTATGTTAATTTGATTAAACCTTGCAAATTTATTATTTCAGTTAGAAACTAACTTATAGGTGTGATTCAGAAACTTTATCTTGAAGGAAATTGCACTTTTGAAATGTATACATGTGTGATAAAATAATTGGCTACAGATACTAGTGTAAACATAATAGAGTGTGCAGGCTATTATCACCAGTTTGATTTTAGGGTAGCGTATGTAGTATCTCAATTGGTCAATTTCCACTATGCTAGTCGTATAATTACTCGTATCATCCATGACCTTAGTAAGTGTATGTATGCATAAATTTCGAATCAACAAATAGTTTTACATATTCACTTTTTAAGATTATATAGATATTTTAACGGTGCACGTTTTGCCCAAGTCGGCGAGCAATATTAAGATTGCCCAAGTATTGTTGAAAATTCCTATATCACGAATTTCCTTCGTATATTTATATAAATTATTTAAATACTCATTCTTTTTAAGAGGTTCTCGCAGTAAAAACTTGTTCATTTGCTATATACTTAGATCACACCTGGAAATGAGTTTCATAATTCATTTTTACTTGTCTTCATTCATTATTTTAACCATTAATATTATTAATCATTTAGTCTAATCATTAAAAAATTATTATAACAAGTTAAAATGAATTTTGAAATCTCTATTTATTTATCACGTTGAGCAGACGAAACATAAATAAGATAAAACTGTTAAATAAAATTTAAGCGAAAAAAAAATATACTCAAATAATATCAACTGATAATAAGAAATTTTTATAATTATTATACGAGTTTATATCAGTGATGATATTATTTTAGCATTAAAAATTTTCTCCTATATAAAATAAAATACTTATGATAAAATAAAAAAAATACAATATTAACAATAACATAGATTCATACTCGTTCACTGTAGATCTTCTTCACATTTGGGAATGTCAAATATTTCAGCAAATAACGGTGGTAATTTGAGCTTTGTCCAGTTTCTTCGAAACCAATCAAGTAAGTTAGCGTGTCGTGAACCAAGTGCTCTTAGTTCCGGTATCCTTTGAGCTATACTAACCCCTGATGAAGAACCACTACCAGGAACAGTATCATTTGTAAGAGAATGATTTCTATCATTTTGAATTCGTAATCCTTCTAATAAGCGATCTTGCAACTTTTGCACCGCTTTAACATCGTTCAGACCTTGTCGTTCACTTAATAACACAGCACCGGAAAATAATCCCAACTCAGCGTCAGATAGCTGGTAAGAATTTAAAGATGTAGTGAACTGCAATAACGACATCACAAAATCTGGCTGAAATTAAAAAAAAAAAAGTTCAGTGTATTTTTGTGTATAAACGTAAAAAAATAACATTATAAATACAGTGGATTCTTGGTAACTCGAACCTTGTTAAGTCGAAATCCTCAGTAACTCGAAAAAAATTTGAATTCCCTTCCGCTGAACTCTTAAATACGCGATATATCGAATTATTTAGACTATGTAACTCGAACTTAGTATCGCTTCCCTTCCAGTATCGAAAGGGATATTTATACTCTATAACTCGAATTTTAAAAGTAAAACTCTATAAGTCGAAGTTAGTAAAATATAAAAACGTTTTTCTCCGAACTGTACAAGCTTATAGCAATCAAATCTAAATTCCTATAGGAATGTTCAATGGTTCTTATATTCTTGTTTGTAATGTATATTTTCTCTCTAAGTTATTTTCTTGCAAATTTTGAACATCTTGTTTAGTCGAAAACTCGTTAACTCGAAGTTTTTATCACTTCCCTTGAAGTTCAAGTTATCGAGAGTCCACTGTATTAAAATTTTATTTTCAATTTAAACGTACTCGCTAAATACGAGCAAAGTTCGATCGGAATTATTCGGTTAATTGAACTAGATTGAATTTTAATAGCAAATAAATTTGTTCTCTCACCTCATACATCAATTCAATTTGTTGCCTTGTAATATATGTCCCATCTTCGAAAGTCATTGAAGTATCAGTAGTCATTTTCGAAATATGACACAGCCATACTTCGAAAAAGCCAACTTTAATAAGTATTAACTGATCGTCTTGAGTCAATTCACAAAAACCTGGCACTCGTTTTGCGAATTCCACAACCCTTTGAACTGAAGGCGTCACTCGGGCCGCGAATTGTTGCCACAACCAAATCCGTTGAGTTTCTACAGTCTCAGCAGTAGAGGATGCAGCTTCAGGATCTTCTGGACTTGTTGGCTGAAAACGAGTAAAAGAAGGGTGAGAAAACAAAAAATATATGAGAAAACTCGCAAAATTAAAAATTCTTGTGAATCAATTCATCAAAAGATTTAATCAATCATGTTCATTTGAACACTATAAAAGAAAACTACTTGATTTAAATGGAATATATTTTAAAATTTCCTTCTTATTTTCAGATAATTAATTTTTTTTTTTTTCAAAAATAAATTAACTTGATAATCATAAAATTAAAATTCTTGGATGAGTAACAAATTTACCTGAAGAATTTCACTGTAATTAAAAATTCTCGGATTTTTGCTACTTTTTATATCATAAAAAAATCAAAAAAACTATTGATCCTGAAAGTCATCCCTGGAATTTCTCGCTATTTCCAAGCTTAAAACGCTCGAACAATATTATATTACAAAGTTTTGAGCTCTTAGAACTCTTAAAAACGAAATTGTTACTCATTTTCGAGCTCCTGAATTCAGTACTTGTTTTGGTAGAAAACTTATTTAAAAATTTTGAATCATAAATCTCGAATGATTCAACCGATTTTGATGCAGTTTGCGGCATTCAATGCAATTAAAAAGCACAAAAAAATAACTTATTTTTTAAGAAATAATTCGACGAGAAATTTTGAAACTATATATAAATAAGTCTTTTAACATTTTTTTGACAACGAAATCTCCTAGAAGAATATACTTATTTTAAAGCGAATAGTTAAAAAAAGTTTTAAATGTCTTTTAGAATAGGATGAAATAAAATTTCATGTTTTAAAAAAATTTTTCGGTATTTTGAATGAAAGAACGATCTCTTGAACCCAGAATATGAAGTTTTTAGAAGAAATCAAAATTATTCTTTATTTTCCTACAAAAGAACAAGCTATCCTGTAAGAGGATATCAATGGAGTCCCTATCAAAGATTACGCAAAAGCAATAGCCACACTCATCTCGCCTACATCAATTAGATTCATTTCCAGAATTTCAAACAACAGAATCTGTGTCTATTTAGCAACAAAGGAATTGGCCGATGAGCTCACCGATAAGCACAAAAACATACAAATCAACGGAACTATGCTAAAAATGCGACCTTTAATCTCTCAAAATAAAAGAATAATTATTTCTAACGTGCCTCCCATAATCCCTCACTCATACATTGAAGACATATTCAAACAATCCAAGGTACAATTATCGTCTCAAATTTCATTCCTAAGAGCGGGATTAAATGAAGAAGGCTATTCACACATTCTAAGCTTTCGACGTCAAGTCTATATAAATGCGGATGACTTACAGAAACTACCAGAAAGTACACAAATTAACTTCGATAACACCAATTACTGGATTTTCTTCTCCCTGGACTCTCTAACATGTTTCTTATGCAAAAAAGAAGGACATCTGGCTAAGGCCTGCCCAGAAATCGAAAAGACTCAAGGTTTTCCCCCTACGCAACTAATAGGCAAGGAAAATAACCAAAACCAAGTACTTACAGTCCAAGATACTGAATCAATAAGCGAATTTACAATTCCTGAACTGATACCCACACCTATGACGTCGGAATACCCATTGCAGCTTAACCTTCCAGCGAAGAGAGCGTACCCTGAATCATCTACAGGGTCTTCAATTAGAAACTTAGAAAATGATATGTTAACTAATGAACAAGAAAATCAGTTTAAGAAACCTAACACTAAACCAAAAAGCTCCCAGAAAAAAACAGAAAAAGACATACGAGACTCCCAAAGAAACAAATGAGGAAGCTCTCGAGCCCATAAAAAAAATAATAGAAATCAGCCCCCAGAACTATGAATTTAACTTTATCCAACTGAAACACTTCATTGACAATACTTACGGCAAAAGTAACATAAAAGAATTAATACCAGAGTTTACTAACAATCCAAACTCGCTAGCTAAGCATCTAAAAGCTCTCCACCCTTTTCTTACATCTCGAAGAATGAAGCACCGCTTCACCCATATCAGAAGACAAATAGAGAATAATAATTACGAGAGTGATATAGACTCACAATACAGCCTTTCGGAACCAAGTGATGACGAGTCCAATCTTTCACCACACTATTAAACGCCCAAAAATGACTATACTACAATGGAATGTAAATGGCTTTGCACCCAGAAGAGAACAAATCCAAATGGTAATCCGCCAACACAACTTCACAATATTATGCCTCCAAGAAACTAACTTCAGAGAGAACAATTCGGAAAATATCAAAAACTTTAAAATCTTTCATAAAAACAGAATAAATGCAGCCATAGCTAGTGGAGGGGTAGCAATATATGTAAAAGAAAACATTCCATCCACAATCTGTAATATAAACACAACTCTGGAAGCTATTGCAGTTCAAGTCCGAGCCCCCAACTTAATAACTATCTGTAACATATATCTTCCTAACGCTTTACCTCTTAATAACACTGATAGTCTAAACCACCTTATACAGCAACTTCCTAAACCCTTCCTAATAGTTGGGGACTTCAACAGCCACAACCTACTCTGGGGTAGCAATAGTACAAATAATAGAGGAAGTGTAATCGAAAAATGGATAGAAGATAACGAATTAGTAATACTCAATGATGGAAGTCCTACCCACTTTTGTTCAGCATCAGGAAACTCCAGCTCAATTGATCTCAGCATCAGTTCAACCAGACTAGCACACTTAATAAACTGGAGTACAGATGAATATCTTAGAGACAGCGATCACCATCCTATCTACATTGAACTGAACAATCCCTCTAACAGCACTAAATATAGAGAAGAACTACCAACCTGGAATCTGAATAAAGCTGACTGGAACTTCTTCGCTCAGACCATCGATGACTACATAACGGAAGTTGAATCCAACAATAATAACCAACCTGGATCACAAATGTTCTATAACTTCATAGCACAGTTACATATATCAGTAAATTTAGCTATACCATATAAGAAAGGCCAATACAGAAACACCAAAGTACCATGGTGGAATGAGAAATATGCTACTGATGATACTAGAGCAGCTAAAAATGCCTTTTACAAATTTAGGAAATCAAAATCTGTAGAGAGCAAAATTGAATACAAAAAACTAAGAGCAAAAGCAAGACGTACAATTAAAGAAAGCAAAATAGAAGCCTGGAGAAATTTTATTAGCACACTTATTCCCCAGTCGCCCTCTAAGCACATATGGAACGCCATTAAAAGAATTCAAGAATTCCAGGTTAAAATAAATGGACACCTCTCCAAAAGCTTCTTCCTAGAAAACGGAATACCTCAAGGCACTGTTATTGCTGTCACACTCTTCTTGGTGGCTCTCAACGATGCCACCAAACTTATAAGGACACCTGCTACAGGACTATGGTTTGCTGACGACGGTACTATTATATGTGCGGGGAAAAACATTGACACATGTGCTGAAATCCTCCAAGACTCACTTAACACTATACAAGAATGGTGTGATCAAACTGGCTTCAAAATATCTCTAAATAAAACCGAATTTATGGTATGCTCTAGATCATACAATAGCAAATATATACACCCACTAATTACACTAGGTAATTCTCAGATACGCCAAGTAGAGTCGATGAAGATTTTGGGCATGATTTTCGATGAAAAGCTTAGCTGGAAGCAACACATTAAAGAAACTAAAGCCGAATGCCAAAAACGACTAAATATAATCAAAAACTTAGCATCTATTAAATGGGGAGCAGACAAATCTATACTGATCAACACCTATAAAGCAATAGTCAGAGCGAAATTAGATTATGGATCTATAATTTACGCATCAGCGAGAGATAATCATCTAAAACAACTCGAATCCATTCACAATTCTGCTCTTAGGCTAGCCTTAGGAGCATTTAGATTCAGCCCCATCCCTAGTATCTTAGCTGAGACAAATGAGATCCCACTATATCTACATCGATATACACTTGCAATCAACTACGCCAACAAAAACGACAAGCCCTGGAATAGCTACACTGACACAACATGGACGAGATTAGAGGAAACTTACATGAATAGAGAATACATTCCAAAACCACTGAAACTGAGAGTAAAAGAATATAGAAGTATACTGGATATTCAACCATGCAAAATTTGGGAAAGAGGTATTCCTACATTCCCACCATGGATGAACAACGCTATTAAAATTGACTGGCACATGGAGTCTTTCCCATGTAATAAAAGTAACACTCCTATAGAATATTATAGATTAACCTTTCAAGAAATGCTAGATAAATATCCCAATCACATCAAGTTTTTTACCAATGGCTCGAGCACGATTGAAAGAAAAGGATGTGCTATTGTTCATAATGATCGGGAAAAAATAATAAGACTCCCAGAAATGTACTCCTTATTCTCCTGTGAAGCATTGGCCATCTACCAAGCCATCATATGGTTTGCAGAAATGGACGCTGACAAGGGACTTATACTATCAGACTCCAAATCTGCTCTGGAAGCAATAGAAAACCCAGTAACTAAGAACTCAATAATACACTCTATACGTGAACATATTAAAACAGGAAATTTAGACAACAAGGAAATCACTCTAGCATGGGTACCCGCTCATGTCGGAATAAGTGGGACCGAAAAAGCTGATGCTGCCGCTAAAAGAGCTACCCAACTAGATACTATCACTGAGACAAAAATTCCATACATCGACCTCAATAAAACCACACATCAAAAAAAAGAGATCTATTGGAATGAGAAGTGGACCAACGATAGAAATAATAAAATAGGAGCATGTCGGGATAATATATGGCAAATAGTACCTTACCCTAGCAATAGAGCCTTATAAACAATAATTACTCGCCTAAGAATAGGACACACAAATATAACACATAGTCACCTAATAGAAAAAATCCCGCCCCAGACATGCACATTCTGCTCAAGACAGCCAGCTTCAATCAATCACTGGTTCACGGAATGCACAGAACTTACACAACAAAGATTACAGTGGAAAATACCCAATACCCTTCATGAGTGCCTGAATGATTTAGATGGACAAAACAAAGCAATCAAGTTTCTTAAATCAATTAAAATATTAAATCTAATTTAAAAATTAATAAAATTCATTAGTTAAATTGTAATAATATATTAAATATCAAGATTGATGATAAATATTCTATCTTTATTGTAAAATTATAATTAAATTATGTATAGCGGTCGCTAATGACCTAGTTGTTGAAGCGACCTAAACTTATTAATAAAAAAAAAAAAAAAAAAAAAAAAAAAAATTATTCTTAATTTCCTGTGTAAAACAATAGCAGAGTTCCTCCGATGATTTCGCTGCAAATTCTGAGAAATTCAGATTTTGATACAAATACGAATTTCAAAGGAATCCGGATGAAATCATAGAAAATGATTTCATCAAATTAATTTAGTAATAATTATACTACAAAATTGAATGTAAATGTGACATTTCAAGCTTAGTAAAATGTTTTTTCGTCCAGAATTTTAGCCGGTTTTCGATAGAAAATTTAATAAAGTATTTTATATGAATTTATAAAATTATCCCGTGTAAAAAAAAATCGTCTTAAAATTGTCTTAAAATTGTCGTTCGTTTAAGATCTTAAACTTGACACAAACTAAGACTCTTTTAAGATGCCAAAAAAAAACATTCCGAGATTTTTTAACAATTATTTTGATTTTTTTAAGACTATTTTAAGATTTTTTCAAGACGATTTTAAGATTTTTCTAAGACTATTTTAAGATTTAAGTTTTAATATAATTTTTATATAGTCTTGAAAAGTCTTAAAATAGTCTTAAAGAAATCTGAAAAAAAAATATTAAAAAATTTTTAGGCTATTTTCAGATAACATCACAGTGGCAGCTCCGGAAAATTATTATGGAGCGTCTTTAAATTGTCTCAAAATTATCTTAAATTAGACTTAAAAAAATCTTAACAAAAAATTTAGACTATTTTAAGATGGGCTAACAGCGACAGAGCCCCGGAACATTAAAACGGAACGTCTTAAAAAAGTCTTAAAATTGTCAGATAATAATTTTTTAACAATTTTAAATTTAATTTAAAAACATCTTACTCAAAAATATTGCGGTTAGAAAGTCGTAAAATCATCTAAAAATTAATTTTCACAACAAATTCGAGAACAAAATTTTCAAAAATCTGCTCTCGGAATTTTTCTTTTGGCGTCTTAAAAGAGTCTTAAAATAGTCTCAGTTTGTGTCACGTTTAAGATCTTAAACGAACGACAATTTTAAGACAATTTTAAGACGATTTTTTTTTACACGGGATGGTACGTTGATAAATTCATAATGGACTTCTCAAAATTTCTCAGGGAAATTCGGAAAATCTAGCTTCCAGTCTCAACTCCATAAGGATTCCAAAAGAATTCTGTAGAGTTTTGTCCGGGATTTCAAAATTATAAGAGGTGTTCTTGGATAAAGATTTTAATTGAATCGATCAAATATAATATACTCTTGAGTCAAGTAAAAATATTTATGAATCTAAAATACTAGCTCGTTATCACCTTTTCGGTCATTATTATGCTAGTATAAATCTAATTCAAGTAGATGAAAATTTCCATCTTCACTAACAATTTGAGACAATTCGTCTTCGGATAGTTAGGTCGATGGGCAACCATCGAATTTGAACACTAGTAAGCTGATGAATGCTAGTATCTGTTCGACTTAATTTTTTAATATTAACGATGGAAAGCCACTGAGAATGAAGAGCAACTTTGAAAAATCCATGAAAAATTAACCAAAGCCAGGAATCGAACCTGGATCTCCCCGAACAAATAACAGATACTAGCATTCACCAGCTTACTAGTATTCAAGTTCGATGGTTGCCCATCGACTTAACTATCCGAAGACGAATTGTCTCAAATTGTTAGTGAAGATGGAAATTTCATCCACTTGAATTAGATTTATACTAGCATAATAATGACCGAAAAGGTGATAACGAGTTAGAATAATTATAAAAAATCACGGTTGAGAAAAAATAAAAAAACTAAAATACTAGTCTCTTAAGCCAAGATAACAAAATTCAAAGCAAGAATTGTTGAACTGAGACAACTGGTCTTAAAAATACGCTTCTTGGATCAATTTCTTCTGAACCAAGATAGTTTTGCTAATAATGCCCAAATAAATAGTTATTAAACAAAAGATAACTTACGTACCGGTATAACCATTGGTTTTCGTACGAGACTCTTCGTGGATTCATCAGTAAAGACACAGTGAGCATGATGAGCTTGTGAAACTTGAAGAATAACATCGTAAACAGCCAATTGCTTATTATCAGCGTCCGACTGATCAGCTTCAACCACAGTCGCCGCCGGTATTCGTACAATCACATTTTGACTACTATTAATACCATTGCAGTTGTTATTATTGTTTATTGCACTATTGTTATTATTATTTATATTAGTACTATTATTGTTATTATTGTTACTACTACTATTATTTAAATTATTATTATTATTATTACTATTGTTATTATTGGTAATATTGTTGTTGCTGCTGCTGCTGTTGATGTTGCTGGTATTATTATTACTATTACTATTATTGTTATGGTTATTATTATTATTATTATTATTATTATTATTACTATTATTATTGTTCACACTACTGTTAACTGTGTTTGTCGAACTATTGTTGTTGTTGTTGTTGTTGTTATTATTGACGCTGGAACTAAGTTGTTGATTTGAAATTGTTGTCGTTGAAATAGAGTCGTCGGATCCGCGTTCTCGAGATCGTTTCGGTACTCGACCATATCGGACCGCTGTAAAAAAATTTTATAGTAAAATAAATGAAACTCATCAATTACACTGATAAAAAAATTAACTCGATTCAAGAGAAGAAATCTTCAACTAAGAAAATTATTTCAAAGAATCTCGTAGACTTAAATCAAGCCGGAAAATCTTGAGCCAAGTAAAATTTATTCGAATCAAGACATTTTTTGCTTGATTCAAGATAAATAAATTTATTTAGTTCACGATTTTCTTTTTTAATCAAATTAATTTTTTTATTGGAGTATTAGTATATACTAACAACCTGTAGTCACTATGCGACTGTTGAGATTTACGGATTATGAATAAGAAAACTTTGGTTTAATGATTTTTTTTAGTAGATTTCATAGAAATCTATTACATTTGTCCTCATGGTGGAACTTTCGAAAAATTTTACTATTTTCTGATTCAGTTCGTCGAGCTGATTCATAAAATACATATGGTTCAAAAGTTTACATATGTATGTATATATTCGATATAACGCGGCTTGACCGGAGGATAGCGTCTCTAATCCATAGTGGATCTTCTCCAAACTCAACATACTTAATTTTTCGTATTTTGGCAGTTTCTTTCGCGGATAACTTTTTAATGAAATAACTCATCGAATTTTTGTAAATAAAATTACATTTTAAAGTCTATTAAACGAGCTTTAATTTTCATGTCATTTTATTCTCCTAGAGTGAAAATAACCTATTCGTCTGAAGATATTTAATGAAATTTTACTATTTCATTCGTTTCAACTTAGGAAGAAGGGATTCCATCAATTCGATTGAAGTATTTAAATTATTAGTGTTGTGATTTTATTTAAGTAGGAAATCTACTTCCATTTCGGCTGCCAAGTGGCATTTTTTTTTAATATTTTAAATCAGATTGTACATAGTTTGGGTACTTTTTAAATAAATCTTGAAAATAATAGTGCTACCTATGACAGGATCAATCACAAATAATTTAATAGACAAATGTGATGGAACAAATTTAGAGAACCAATAAACTATTTAAAACTGCTCCAAAAACTTATCAAAAAGTTGACTATCACTGGAAAATTTATAAAACCGTGAAAAGAAACAAATTCTTTTCAAGACTTTTTTGATGATACCGAATTTAACTATAAAAATTCCTTTTAAAATAATAATATTCTCGTCACAAAATATTCTTTACTCTCACAATTATTCAAATCATAAATAACTATCGCTGAAAAAAATATCAAACCCAATTTACGATGAAGATACCCGTTGAAAATTTTTCTTAATCTCTTAATTACATAAATTAATTTTTAATCTGTAACCACATTCACGTGCACAAAACAAAATAAAAAAATATAAAAAAGCGCCAATCGACCACACCCGACATGGATAAATAAATTTCTTGTTTAAACACTGAAAAAAAAAACACGTTATTAAAGGGCAATAATGTCCTTAAATTAATTTTTTATTATATTTTTGCAAATAACGATATGAGATAGACGACAACAAATAGATATTCAAAGACATCTATCTAAAAAATAGGATTTGTAACAGGTGAAAATCATTTGATGATAAAAGCTAAAGATTAATTTATTCTTGATTTTTTTTTTAATTTTCCTAACTACTGAATAAATTGAAAGAAGTATCAAAAGTCGACAAATAATAGCCTAAATTGAAGATAATCATGTGAACTTGAAAATAAATTTAATAGATTTTATCTATCTTTTACATCTGGAAAATCATTTCTATAAAATATACGAAATTCAAAATTTTTTTTAAATAAAAAAAATTTTTGAACACCTACAACTTTAAAATTAACTGACCGATTTCGCTCACTTTCTAATTTGATCTCGGTATTGATTTATAAAATAAGCCCACAAAATTTCATAAAGGTCCTTCAAATTTCGACATGAAACCGGCTACAATAGCTAGATTTATAAATAAATCTACCCAAAACTCTTTTAATCATATAAATACGCCAGAGATAAAAATTTCTTTATTCTCTTAATTATAGAGATATGTAATAATAATAACGTAGAATTAATAAATGAAATGTACTTACAATCCCGTGACATTCCGACTGCCAGACATTTTTTGAATCTGCAGTACTGACAACGATTTCTGTTTAATCTTATCACTAAACATTTTCCATCTCGCAAACATCGATACTCGATCTGCTTTTGAATACTCCTTCGGAAGAAACCCTTCAAGAAAAATATAATTTTCGTTAGCTGTTATATAATTAAGGTAACTAAGTATGTCGTTAATTGGTTCTAAACTTGGTATTATACCAACCACTTATTGTACTGATTAAATTATAATCAACCAACCAGGTATAGTTAAAGTTTGACAGAATTAGAAAAAAAAAAAATTACCTTACAACCCTCGCAACTTGTAACACCGTAATGAAATCCACTGGCTTTGTCACCGCAAACCTTACAGGGTACGAAACTTTTGGCAGGAGTTGAACTATTTGAATCTGCTGCTACATAATGCTGCTCTGAAATTAGAAAAAAATTATTTAGCGCAAGTCTATGAATTTACGACTATCACGTATTTGGTACGATAAAATGATTTTTTATCGTAATTATCGAACTGGGTATACAAAATTACAAATCTTATCAAAAGTATTCGAAAATTGAAAAACAAGTATTCCGAAAATATTTCTTCACAAAATTTTGAGTTGAAACAATATCTTACAGACTATACTGTTACAACTTATAATGTTTATCCATAAATGAATAATTGTACTATGGAAAATATACAAAAGTATAGAAGATTATTTTTATTGTTCATTCACACACATACATTGAATCATTTGTTAAAGTGTCACCAGATGTAATTACATTTTACCAATGGCTTAACGTAACTTTAACAAGCATTATAATATGCCTGCTTTATAGACCCAGGAACATCGATATTACTTTCACCGCCTCTCTTTCATATTATTCTGTTTGTCATCGGTACAAAACAGACAATACATCCTCTTTATTCTGATCAATCATCAATATATATCCGTATATTTTTTTTTCGTTGCCAATTACCTAATTGTCACATGTATAAAACCAATTATTCAGTGAATATTATTAAAAAAATATTACAAAAAAATAATGATAATCAGATGCATAATAATATTTCATATAAGCAACCCGGAAAATTACGAATTATTAATAAAAATACTTTGATTTAATAGCTCTGTCCAAGTTTACTCTTAGAAGATTTTGTACATTAGAAAATAATTTTGAAGAACTTAATCGTCTTAATTTGAGAAGAAAAATTCTTAAACTAAAAAATTTTCTCTGTTTAAGTAAATTTTACTCAATTCAAGACAATGAAACTTTTCAAAATTATTTCCTTGGTTCCATAATTTTTCTCATTGTAAAGTTATTTTTTTTTTTTTTTTTTTTTTTTTTTCAGTGTATCAAAAACTGAAAGTGACTATATTCTCTCTGAAAAATATATATAAGAAAATAACGCAAGGTATACTAATCTAGGCTCAGTCGTACTTAGTACTTAAGAAATTTGAACGAGCCCAATGATATTTTGTGATATTTTTAATCCCAATATAAGTACATAGATTGGGTACTTTTGAAATAAATTCAAAAACTAACATAGCTATGACAGAATCAATTATTAATAATTTAATGAAAAATGTACCGTAACAAATTTATAGAACCAAAAAACTATTCAAAACTGCTCGAAAAACTTAACATAAAAAATTGACTATAATTGAAAAATATATTTGAAATCGTGAAAAGGCATAAAGGTCAAGACGTTCTTGATGTTACTAAATTTAACTATGAACATCCCTTTGAAAATAAAACTCCGCCCGTCACAAAATTATCCTTATTATCTTAATTATTTAGATGATAAATTGACTTTTGCCGAAAAAATATCAAATCGTAAAAAGATACGAATTCAGGTTACGACTTTTTTCATGGTATCAAATTTAACTATTGATACCCATTTTATAATAAAGATGTGCCCGTAACAAAATTTTGTTTATTCTTTTAAATATATAGATTAATATTTGACATAAAACCACATGCACATATATAAAACATAATAAATAAACAAATAAAAAATGAACAAATTTAATCCAGAGCTAAATTCTAATCTATAAAGAGCTACTTCGAAAACTCATAATAAATTAACTATCGCTAATAATCATATGAAGCCTTGAAATTGCATAAATTTAGGTCAAGCTGATTCTGATGAGACTAAATTTAACTAAAAATAAAAAATTTTATCTTATGAATACGTCGGAGATAACTTTTTCCTTATTCTCTTAATTATTTTGAAAACTAACTAGACATTTAGCGGCAAGTTTCTCTAATTTAATCTATGAATTAGAAAAGTCGCGGACGTATGTTAGTTTCGAACACGGAACCTCTCGGCTATCGATTCAATGCGCCGCTCGTTGGTTCAAGTCACGTATATTATTATGTAATGCTTGTTTGATTCATTTAGATTAAAATGACATTTTGTTTTCTATAAAAATGTTAACTAATCGATTTAAAAGTTTTTTTAAATTGATTCAGTAATTATTTCTCTTTCTAAAAATTTTCCATTTCATTTATATGTTTATTAAGGTAGTTCATTCATGAATGCAAAATTCCAAGAAGTTTTCAAGATTTGAAATAAACCTAATAAAATACACAATACATGTGCTGTTGAAATTTGAAATAAAATATGAGATAATTCTATTTAAAAATTACATTTTAGCACAGGCAGTATGGGAAAAGAGTGAGAAAATCCCAAATTTTTATGGTTATGGCATTAAAATAATTTTATGTTCATTTCAAAAAACTGATATCTGTGAGAATAATATGCTTAGAATATTATTAAGAGGAAAAAAATAGTACAAACTATATGTCCATGGGTGAATTATCTTAAAGCGAAGAAATTTAAAACCTAATTTTTGGGCGATAATAGAGCACACAGCTTTTGCGCGTTCTGATAAAAAAATCATTTAGTTGAATTTTAATAGCACTATTTTCAGATTGCTACAATGACTAACTTCTCAGCAATAATACTCACATGATTGAAATTTATAATCAATGATGTTATACTCATATCAAAAAACTTATCTATCAAGAATTATATTCTTCAGTTCTGCACAACTAGTAATAGACAATAATTTATGATAGCATTTATCCGACCGCTTTCTCAATGCACTTTCTACTGTTGATCTCGATGAGACATAGAGTTTCTATCTTTCGACCTTTTTGAATGTTTTCTAATATACTTTGCAATATAACTCTACATTTGATCATCATATATAACCAATATAGAAGACATATACACTAAATTCGCAAGTTGCATTGGAAATAATGAGATTATTTAGGATAAAATATGGTGAAATCGAACAAGTAAGCTTTAGGACTTGAAATAAAGATCGAACAGGTGTTATGAAATAAGAACCCGGAAACATGACCAAGCATATATAAACTTAAGACTTAATTAGTCTGGTTGATTTAGACGCTAATCTCAACTCTCTCGTTTTCTTTATTCCCTTCTCTTTTCTTATTTAATCGCGTAAAGAGTATACAGAAATACACTCATAACATTATGTCACGTATTCGCGGAGACGTTTGCACTTTAAATTCCTACAACTGCTTCAAGCCATCATTCTACGTGTTTTACTTCATTTTCTTTTTACATTCATGCCATATTTTTTTTTATTATTCATACTCAAAAATTTTTTAACTTCAAATTATTTTAATAGTTATCTAAAATTGCGGCTCTGCCTATTTTTGGTCGTTACAAAAATAAAATCGTGACTATTTGAGGTATATTACCGAAAGTTTCAAACTTTAAAAATTTTACAAATCAACAAATTTTTTGTTTTTGAAATTATTTCATTTTTCGATGCGCAACAGAAAATATCATACGATTATTGAAAAAGTAATGTATCACTTTAAGTATATTGATCAAAAATGAAAATTTCAATTTGTGAACTTTTCAAAGCTGAAAGTTGACCAACATAAAATTTATTCACTTGTAAAAAACGTATATTGATTCAAGAAAAATGTTTTTTCAATTTATTTTAAAGATAACCGGTGGTCTGGGATTGAAAACAAAAACTACGTCTAGTAAGAAATTTTCTTATTAAAGAATTGGTCAGATTAGTTGAAATAGATTTTATTTAATTCAAGTAAAGCAATTCGTATATCTATACTATAATAAAGGCATATTACATATGTTGATATTACATAGTCAAGAAATTAATTAATTAAATGACTTAGTTCAATAAATTCTTGAGCCAAAAATCTTTGTGAGGACACTATTTCTTCTTTTTGCTCGGTGTGCTTCAATAATTTTTTGCCTTGAATCTCGTCATCTTAGCTTAAGAGACTATTATTTTTAATCGATAACTATTGTCATTTGATTCAAGAGTATATTATCTCAAGTCGATCTTTATTCGATATAATCAAATTCTTTATCCAAGAATCATTCTCCAAAACTAACAATAATTTTATTTTATGTAAGAATTATATTTTTGGGTTAAGAATTAGTTTCTTCATTTACAATAGCAAAAAATCTTTTTAAAAAACTAAATTTTTACTTATTAGCATATTCTAAAACTTTTTTTATGATATAGAAAGTATTAAAAATTCTAGAATTTTTAGTTTGGATTTTAATCCGGAACCATTTTAATGACTTGTCTTAATCGAAGGTAAAAAAATTTTGGACAAAGAATATGAGTATATTTCTGAATAATTTTTTGCTGATCTAAAAATTTTAATTTATGGATTCGCAAATTAATTTTTCAAACTAAGAAAACGGAATATGTTGAAACAATAGTGAACTTTTGAAGTAAAGATTTATTTTCTTCAAGTATATGTAGTTTTTTTTTCAGCATTGAAGTTAACTTTTATCTAATAATAATACCAATCTGTTGTACAATTAATATACAGTATTTTCACATTACGTAATGGCCGTAATAGGTCGATGGATAAGGAGCGGTGAATGTTTTTTCTCTTGGAAATGGATTAGAAGTCAAAAGGTTGATGCCAGGAATAAATTGCTATGATAAGTTCATTCTGAGTATATACATCGAAGTACAAAAATAAAAAGAGACGTATATATATGTAAAGTGTACACAGAAGAGTTTTACTTATAGATACTTGCTATTTTTTTTATCCAAATAGGTACTTGATCATCTATTGTAAAAGGTTACAGTTTTAGACAAGAGCCTTTCGGAAGAGCTTAATCAGCATTTACATATATCTTTGCCACACAGATTGCATTATATGATGAATTTATTCTTTTCCTTTTTCTTCTTTTTCTATGCAATCACATAGATTCAAGGAGAGAAACGAGAAAAAAAATCACAAAAAAGTCTGTGTTTTTTAGATTGTATACATTATAAATATTAATTAATGGAGGCTTAATTGGTGATGATACTATCATGAAGAATATATAAGCAGCTAGAAGTAGTATAGAGGAATATTACTATTATATAGCAATAGGGAATGGAAGAAATAAAAGAAATAAGTCATAGAACGGTAGACTGAAGCGTGTTAGTGAACAAGGAGAGAAAAAAGATAAGCGGAAGAGAAATAGAATAAAGGAACAAAGTGGTGAAACATCGTGTTGTTTTTTTTGCTCTGCTGTATATAACTCTTCGCAACGGCCATCGACCTTCTCTTGTTATTCATTATTTTATAACTATTTTTATTATTCACGTACTTTATATTTAAAACGTTATTTATATTGCCTTTAAATATTTTTGAGTATTGGTGCCTATGACATTACATTACATTATTAAAATAATATGTATGCTATCTGTATATCCATTCCCCATTCATAAATATCATGTGCTTAGTGCAAATTTAATAAAATAATAATAAAACGAAACCTTCATCAACATTTCTAAAAAAATAAAATATGTGATTTCGACTAATTACCCTATCAAGGTATTCAATCTCCGCTTAACTCAAGAAATATTTTTTTGAGCAAAAAATCCTAATAAATAGATGAATAAAACTGTAAATTTTTCTTATAGTTAGGAAATAACACGAAGATCCCATGTTCGATTGTCCGGCATAGATAAGCATCCGTAAATAAGTACAACGACCCTGCCAGAGCAATTATTATCGTTAACGGAAAGTGGAAAATAAAGGGAACGAAAAAGTAAATAATGCAACTTTTCAAATCATAATAAAACACGTTAAACGGTGTTGTTTTTTTATTTTTCTATTGTAGTTGTTCCTTTCCTGGTTGTTGTTTCTTTTTCTTTTTTTTTTTCGTTTTCCTTGTCTATTTAAAAATTTTTATTTTTCATTTTTCGTTTTTTAGTTTTCCTTTTCCCTTTTCATTTGTTAGTGTTCCTTTTTATATTATTGTTCCTTTTCCTATTGTTGTTGTCCCTTTCCCTTTTCCTATTTTTCGTTTTCCTTGTTCATTCTTTGATTTTAATTTTTCTTCTTTATGTTTCCCTTTTCATTTGTTAATGTTCCTTTTTGTATTATTGTTCCTTTTCCTATTGTTGATGTTCCTTTCCCTGTTGTTAATTTTTACTTTTCTTATTTTTCGTTTTCCTTGTTCATTCTGTAATTTTAATTTTTCTTTTTTGTTTTCGTTTCTCTTGTCTGTTTTTCGTTTTTTAATTTTTCTTTTCCGTTTTTTATTTTCCCGCTTCCTCTTCTTTTTTTCAATTTTCAAAAGTTATTGGTTTCATCCCTATTGCGAATATCGTGTGCTCCTCGGATTGCGACATAGTTTTTGGACGCCTTAATTAATTGAAACGCAGCTTGCGGCATTCCAAAGAGGTCTATTACTTTATTGTCCTTCGATTTTGTTTAAATTTAAACCATTTCAGCCGGATTGATAGTAAGAAATCTCGAAAATAAATTTTTCTTTTCCATTCCTTACTTTTCATTGTCTTTTTGTTAGCACTTCTTTACCATTTATTCTTAATTGTTGTTGTTCCTCTTCCTGTTATTGCTCTTTTAGTAAATTTCATTAAGCCAAATCGGTAGAATAGCTCAAAAATGTCAGCAATTTTAAATTTTCAAAAAGTTCAAATTACTAAATTTTCGCTAGTTCCTCTTCAAATAACTTTTGAATATCATCATTTATATAATTTCAATAAAATGTATCTGAAAGCCCATTAATTTAAATAAGCTTCTATTTCTATATAGTTACGTAGTTTTCTAGACCAAAAATTGCCTATTTAATAAAATTTTATTTGTTTATTTGTTTTAACGATTCTGCAAGTTTTTGGTTGCTTTGTAAAATCTACTTCCTTGCCAGCTGCCGACAGCCTTTTTTTCTGTTTTTATCATGTACCAATTAATCTATCAAGTTTGAGAAATATCATCAATTATAAAAAATGAATACATTTTGCTTTAAACGAAAAACAGTAATAAGCAAATATCGGATAAACTTTCAAATTGAATATTTATGAATTCATATATATATATTCCGATAAAATAATTCGTATATAAGTTAGGTGAAGCAAGAAAATAAGCAAAAAGACTTGTTTCTCCCGCGCACTTTCACTAACTAAAAAGAATACTCACGACGAGAGTTCTCAATAATCCCCTTATCTAACTTCAACTTCGACGTAATTTACCGGTTTAATAAACAATTCGAGATAAAAATCTAAACTATCTATCGTAATTGCTTGAGAAACATACATCATTAATTATACATCCATATACTAATTCATTTTTGCGTATTTTCCCAATGTATGGACAAATAAAAATAATACGTGATGTAAAATTAACATTAAACAACATATTGATTTTGAATTATGACAAGTTTAATAATCTTAGACGTATCTTCCTAAATTCTCATGGATCACGCTTCATAAAAATTTAACATTCTAACGCTTCCGCTCTATGAGGTATAAAATAAAGGACGTAATATTTATAAAATCACTTTGATCTCTTCTTAATGGTAAACGTATTTGGGAAATAGAAGAACAACAGATTAATAATAACAATGTATAGCTTCTGAAACTTCAAAATATATTCAGTTACTGATAAATTTTAAATTAATAATTTATTTGTTAACCTAACTCAATACATATTTAATTAATTTTACAATTCAATGCTAAAACATTAACAAAATAATAAATAATAAATTTGGGTTCTTTTTTTGTGTTGATTTAGGAGAATTAACACAAAAAAGTGTCAAATTTACACACAAAAGTGTTGAAAATTTAACATAAAATTTTTTGACGCAATGACGTAAAATTTTTTACTGTGCAAAAACTCTAAAAATGCATTATAGATTTAATGAAATAATTTTCTATTTATGACTT